ATTAATTCCCATTTCCATGTCCTCAGGAATGAAATAGTGTGATACCTTTTTTGTTCTTTAAAGTATTACATGGAAAATCATGAGTGAATACTCAGGGGGATGTGATTTTCAAACACATAGTCCTCATTCTGTGAGAGATTTATCAACTATTATTGCATATTCCTTCTCTCATTTTCTAATAGTGATGGCAGTGCATCCCCACATTATATTTATTTTAAGTATCTTACTATGAGTTGCTTAAGGTCACTTCATCTTAGGTCTATGGACATTTGCATTTTGAATTGTAACACCTGCCTGTATTATTAAACTGTCAGACTTAATAGGACCGTGGGGAAGAATATAGCACAGGCTAAAGAAAATTAGATTCCGAACCTTTTATGATGATGACATCCATTTGTTTGTGATCCCCATGATCAGTGAAGGAAGCCGCTATTGTGACAATGTGTCCAGGTGGGATAAACGTGAGATGTGAATTTACTCATCAGTTTTCCATTTACCCAACAGTGCTTTGATAGCTGCGTGCAGCACCAATTTGTTGAGTGCTACAGTGTTTAAGGCATTGTGCATCTAAAGTTGCAGCAGTGAAATCGATCTAGTGCTGCTTTAAAAAGATGCTAACAGGCCTGAATCTAAGTCACTTCAACTGGGGTTCAGTTAAAGGAAATTTCAAGTGACCTTATATAGCCATGCTCTTTATTTACAAACAAAAAGTCACACTTTACTTTTAGTAACCTCAACTAAAAAAGTAACATGGGGGTTAGAGAGAAGGCTCAGCAGGCTGGGCTTGGCAGTAGTGGCATATGCCTTTAATCCCAGTACTATTTGGAAACAGAGGCAGGGGGTTTCGGTTAGTTCGAGGCCAGCCTGGTCTACAGAGAGAGTTCTAGGACAGCCAGGGCTACGCAGTGAAACCCTTTCTCAAGAAACTAAAACTAGATAGAGATAGGTAGATAGATAGATAGATAGATAGATAGATAGATAGAGATAGATGAGAGAGAGAGAAAGGAAGAAAGAAAGAAAAGAAAGAAAGAAAGAAAGAGAAAGAAAGAAAGAAAGAAAGAAAGAAAGAAAGAAAGAAAGAAAGAAAGAAAGAGAAGAAAGAAAGAAAAGAAAAAACAGGCTATTCTGAAAGAGAACTCAGCTTCTATTCCCTGCACCTACATGGCAGCTCAAACCATCTGTAACTCCAGTTCCGGGAGATTTGATGCCCTCTTATGGCTTCTGTAGGCATCAGGCACACATGGTCCACAGACATACACACAGACAAAACACCATATACATAAAATAAACTATATTTTTAAAAGTTAAAGAAAACATAATTGAGAATAATTAGCATGTAAGAGATAAGATGTTACCTTTTGGACAGGCTTCATTGAACAATCCTTCACAGTTGAGTTTATGGTGTTGGGCTTTTTTGATAAATGTAAGTAAAATAGTAGATATGCAAATGTTGTAAAAGATTGTTTAAGAAAATGAGCAAAATAGACTTTAGGACTGATAAAAGTAATGCCTGTAAACTTGACAATATAAAAACAAGGTTCCTCATTTAAAAATACTTAATAGACACAAATCCTCAATAACATATGAGCATTTTTTTCATTTATTGTCAAATGAATAACAATATGTGACTAATGAGCACTTGGTATAGATTGGGAGTCTTATAGTAACTTAAAAAAAATAGTCTATATCACTCAGCTATCAAAAAATACAGTCTAAATCACTGTGAACTCTGCCGGCTTCACCTGGAGACCCCTTGCTTCCATATACTGAGTGTCCCAAAAGCCTTTTATCTGCAGCTGCCTACTGCAGACCATTTCCAGTGTGAAAAAAGGAGTATTTTTCGTGTTCTGTTTGATTGTATGAGACAGGATCCCATGCAGCCGAGGATGACCTGGAATTCACTTTGCGGCTTGACAAAAACCTTGCACTTCTGGTCCTCTCTCCCTCCCTGTGCTTGGTTCACATGACTGTATCACCGCATGGTGTTTATGTGGTATGAGAATGAGACCGCCAGCTATCTTCATGGTACACCAACATGACCATTCTATAGTCTGTTTTCTCAGTCCCAGAAGAGTTGCTTGCTGCTCTTCCACTTTCTTGTTGATGCAAGCAAGGTGATGCTGAGGATTATATGCACATGAAATTTCACAGGCAAATTTCAGGATGGCCCTAGTTTCCATGATATTGTTTCCGATCATGGTAGAAAGAAACTACTAAAGGCAGTTAAACAGAAATTTGCCTTCAATTATGCAATTATTGAGCATTCAAAATATGGAGAAGTAATTCCACTACGTATTTCAGTTACTGGTAAAGACTTCACTGATTAATGGTAATAAGTTATCACAGAGTTCATGAATCTTCAGAACTGGTGTTTTATGAAGTTTAAATTCTACAATGAGTAGAATTTCTTTGAGGTACCTTGGCACACATGTAAACAAAATCTCACAGCTTGTGTGCTGAAACCCATGGGATCTACCCTTAACTTGAACTAGTTCAACCCCTTCATACAGTAGACTGCAAAATGAGCCAAAAAAAGATAGCAACAAAGTGAAAATCATTCATTTGTATTCAGCTTATGATAATGCAAAAGTTCAAAGCCAGTATTTGCTGGTGTGTTCCTTAATAAAGATAAATGGGTAGTTTAAGGGTAACAACTACAAGGATCTACTGAACAGTATAGTTGAAAATCAGTTTCTCTTTTCGACATGCTAACAATAACATCCTGTACAATATAAAGTGTTTAGATGTGCATCCCTAAATGTCACTCAGTTCTTGCTAAAGCTGCCATGCAGTTGAATTGATCAAGCTAGGCCCTGCAGGACTATCAATCTATTTAGTGATCTAACATAAGTAGTCTGCAGTCAACATCCTCTCTGCTTCCAGAATCTTTGTATCCAAACATTACACAAAGAGCAGGCAGGAGTCCTTGAAACTCTTCTAATGGTGATATTCTCTTTTCAATTCCTTTTTTATTCTATTTTAGATATAATTACATCATTTTCCATTTCCCTTTCTTCCATCTAAACCCTCCCATATACCCCTTCTTGTTCTCTTCCCAATGCATAGCCTCTTATTCATCAATTAATGTTACATACACAAATATATGTACATTTGTACATCCCTGAAAACATAGGTACAATCTACACCCTATGGGTACTCAACCTTACACAAAGAACTACAGCCAACTAATGGTGATATTTGTCAAAAGCCAGGCTTCTGCAATTTTTATAGTCTAACTAAGAGTAATCATGAAAGTTTCATAGCCTTTTATGAAGTCTGTAAAACTCTAGAGGCTTAAAATGTGAAAGAAAACAAAAGTCCTAAGAATCAGCATTTGAACTTCTCAATGTTAAGTGTTTAAGAATATGAGAATTAGTTTATCATGCAGTTCCTAAATTTTAAATATGAATGACTTCATAATGAGATATAAAGTTCCTTCAGAAAGTGATAAACAGGTCAAATGCATGTTAAAAAGGAGAACATTATATAGATATAGCAATCCAAAATAATATTTTTAATTGTTAATTGCAAAAAAGCCATTTAACTATGTTAACCTCATTGTTCCTAAAATAATCTGATGAAATAATTACTTATCCATATTTCCATCTTTAAAGTTTTAAAGCCATTCAAGAAGTGTTGGCAATTTTCAAAGAGCAGTTTAATCGCCTGAGCATGTATTAGAAAAAAGAAACATGTTTATGTCAATGAAAACAGTGACCAATAAGAAATAAAATGATTAAATTCAATTAATATAATTAATAAAGTAATTAAATTAATTAAAACATAAATTAATCTTGGTAGTAATCACCAATCAAGATGATATGTATGTATTGACACCTAATAAGGTCAATGTTCTCTATTCACAGGTTCAGGAATTCACATAACATATTGTAATAGATATCATAATTAGAATTATTATTGATTACCTAAATATGCATCATAAAAATTCAACATGTGGAATGTTAATGAAATTTTAAAGTCAGGTACTAGACTTTGCTATATTACTTTACTGGTATTGAACCTTTAAAGCTAAATTTAAAATTAATGACATTTTATGAACTATATAATGTATATTTGTAACATAACTCTATATAAGTTTACTTGCACTGCCAATTTCAAGAATTAAATACAGTTGGTAAATAACAACATATGATCTTAATCTATGCTTTAATCTTAGTAATGTAAACTTTTTTACTAAGAATGTTTCCAGGTTCCAGGTTACACATTTGTAGAAAATCCATAGGTACTTACATTTTAAGCACACAAACTAAATATGCAGAATTGTAAAATTTCAATTAAAATATTTGAGATAACATTTTAAGTTCATCACATACTATAATTATGAAAAATGTCATACATGCTGGTACATAGTTATGCATTCTTTCAATAAAAATAATTGAACTATACTGTTTCTGTAATACAGATGTCACAGATAACTATTGTTATAAATTTCAACAAAATATATACTGAGATTTTTATAAAAGCATAACCAATTTAATGTAAAATTTAAGTTTGAAAGTTTATAGGAGTGAAAAACATTAGCATTACATTAATTTTGATTCAAAATTCATATGTTTCTTGTCAAGAAATAAATTATCAAAAAATTTTCTTAAGGACTAAAGACTCCTGAGTACGGCTCATCCTTGTGAATATGAAATGTGAAATAGGATTTAACTCTGTCTCATGGACAGAATATAGGCCTTTTAAAAGAAGTGGCTTTTGGTAATATAGCTCTCAATGTAAGACAATACATCTGCACAAAGTTAAATCGTGATATAGAAGCCGAGGTTTTGAGAAGCCACTTTCAAACACAGAGAGCAGAGAGTGTCATAGTGACCAGTCACTATTTGCTAATGTAATAATCAGTAACAGATCCACCGGCTGGGCAGGGCTGAAATGGTATCTGGTATAATTTAATCCCATTAAATGCTATTGCCATAAAGTCTGTCATTCTTTCCATTTTGATACACATACATATTTTTTTCATGACTTCTTTCCAGAATGCTCCGGACCATTGGGAATCGAAGGCGGGATCATATCCAATCAGCAGATCACAGCGTCGTCTACCCACCGAGCTCTCTTTGGACTCCAGAAGTGGTATCCCTACTATGCTCGGCTGAATAAGAAGGGACTGATAAACGCCTGGACAGCTGCTGAGAATGACAGGTGGCCGTGGATTCAGGTAACAGAGGGATGGGACAGAGCTGTTCCCAAAATGATCACAATCATTTATGGAAGTAGATTAGAAAGAATTTGGTGCTATTCTTTCTCATGTTCAAAGTCTAGTTTAGTCTATGATGACACTGGCTGCAAGATCTCAAAATGTGGGGAACACGCACATTTTTCTGAAAATGTGAACACAGCATTAAGATGGAAGCATTCTCAGACATAAATACACTGTTTTAAGTTATATTGAAAGAAAGAGATCTTATCATCATTTGCACATGTTTATTTATACAGTGTTAACATTTAGCAGCAGATTATGAAACAAAACAGTAACAATTTCATCTACATATTCTTTGTGAGAAATAATTTCCCATATGCAAATATAAAATGTACAACGGGTCATGATAATATCCAATTGTGTGCAGCACCCTCTTTTTATAAATAGAGAATTTTTAAGTGTTCTGAGGGGCTTTATTACATATCAGTTCTGTAAAAGATTGGAAAGGATTTGGGAAGTTTCATAGTCTAAAGAGTAAAACAATATGATTACATGGTAACCTTCAAATTATAGAAATATTCGAAGTAGGTGTGTAATTACTTTATAAGTAGATAATAATATTATAGAATTAATTACAAAACATTTCATAATTCTTCAAGAGTATCTGTAATTTTTTCTATTTATTTATTTAATTTTGCATCTGGACTATAGTTTCCCCTCCCTCCTCTCCTCCAAGTCCCTACCCATACATCCACTCTACCCCTGTTTATATTCAAAAAGGGGCAGGCCTCCCATGAATAACATCAAAACATGGCATATCGAGTTGCAGCAAGACTAAGCACCTCCCCTCCCATATATAAAGGTCAGACAAGCAACTAACTCAGTGTGAGGAATAGGATCACAAAAGCCAGCAAAAGAGTCAGAGACAGTCCCTGCTCCCACGGTTAGGATCCCCACAGTAGGAACAAGCTACACAACTGTCACATATATACGGAATGCCTAGGTTGGTCCATGGAGGTTCTCTGGTTATAGTTTCAGTCTCTGGAACTTGATGAGCCCAGGTTAGTCAATTCTGTGGGCTTTCGTTTGATGAGCCAGGGTTAGTCAATTCTGTGGGCTTTTGTTTCTTTCTTTCTGTCTTTTTTTTTTTTTTTTTTTTTTTGGTTTTTTGATACAGGGTTTTTCTCTGTGTAGCTTTGGAGCTTATCCTGGACCTCACTCTGTAGACGAACTGGCCTCAAACTCACAGAGAGCCACCTGCCTCTTCCTCCTGAGTGCTGGATTAAAGGCGTGTGCCACCACCGCCAGGCTCTGTGGGTTTTCTTGTGGTGTCTTTGATCCCTCTGGCTCCTACAATCCTTCCTTCCTTTCTTCAAGCAGGATTCCCTGAGATTCGTGGTGGCTTTTATTCTCATCCACCAGCTAATTTTAAAACAGGAGAATACAACAATGTATTGACATATTAAGAGCTTTGCCAGAGAAGAAATATCATGATAAAGCTGACATCTCATATTGTATACATTCAAGCTTCCTGAGCACTCAAGTAAAAGCATAAAATAGATGTATTTGAGAGACTGAAAAGATGATCAAAACTGATTTCTGTGAAATATTATACCTCTGTTCTTGTGATACCTTAATATAACCACAGTTTACCAAATCATTAACAGCACATACCAAATGTGAGTAAAGTCCAGTGTACTGAGGGGTCAGAGCACTCCTGTTGAAACTCCATGGGTTAAGAAACTCATATATAAGACAATTTTGGAGGATAGCTTCCACTGATCTAGATTCTCACAAAACAGCATATTCAAAGCTGCTACGTGAGAATCTAGCAAACATCATATAGAAAACGGGGACAAGTAGAGTTACTGGAAAAATGTGTTCAGACCTGCTGTGAGAGATTGCAAATGCCCAAGGGTCAATCTAAAAGGTTTGTACCTCATTCTGTTGGAATTAAATGTAATGAGTCTCTGTCCCACCAGCTAGCTCCCAAATAATGACATGGAGACTTCTTACTAATATGAAAGCTCAGCCTATACTTAGGCCTATTCCTCTAACTAGCTCTTATAACATAATCCATTTATGTGAATCTACATTCTATCACATGGCATTACCTCTTACATCTTGCACCTCCTGTTTCCTCTCCATGTCTCCTGGCACCTCTGCCTTTCTCTTTCCAGAGTCCTCTCTGTCTCCAAAAGTTCCACCTAACCTCTTCGTACCTACATATTGGCCATTCAGCTCTTTATTAAACCAATCAGAAGGCACCTTGGAAAAGACATCTTTACAGTGTAAACAAATATTTGGCAACGTTTCCCCCTTTTTTGTCTAAACAAAAAAGGAAAGTTTTAACTCTAACATAGTAAAACTATATACAATAAGAGAAGGTAGGACAGTCCTTCCAAATTCCTGCTTCACAGAAACGTCTGTCAGATGTTCTAGGCTCTTAGGCTGAAGATGGATACCCCAGTAATACAGAGAAACCTTGGGGTGTTTTCCAGGCAGAGCGGATGTCTCTGTCATTTCTTAGTTTTGGAAGTTGCTTGCTTTGTACTTCCTGTTTACTCAGGCAATATTATATCCTTCTCAGATCTCTGATGGGGTTGAAGTCTAGAGAGTTATTGTTTTACAAATTTCCTTGTTACCAAAATAAAAAAACAATTATATAAGAGATGTAAAGTTCATAAGGTTAAAAAACATAAAAGCTTAAGGTATTTATCTAAAAAGATTCTTTAAGGTCTAAAAGGATATTTTTAGTATGGTAATACAAGTTATGCTAGAAAGTGATTTAGGTATAAAACTTTGGACTCACTAAGCTAGGATAGACAACAATATTTTCTCCAAATTTGCCAAATACATATGGACATTATGAATGTGATTCTTACTTGATAATTGTCCTTATTGTATATAGTTGAGCAAGTGTCCCTGTGGTATGATTGAGCATACCTTGGGTATATGCCCAAGAGTGGTATCATTGGGTCTTGAGGTAGATTGATTCCCAGTTTCCTGAAAAACTGCCATACTGATTTCCAAAAGGGCTGTACAGGTTTGCACTCCCATCAACAGTGGAGGAGTGTTCCCCTTGCTCCACATCCTCTTCAACATAAGCTGTCCTCAGTGTTTTTGATCATAGACATTCTGATGGGTGTAAGATGACATCTCAGAATTGTTTCATTTGTATTTCCCTGATGACTAAGGATGTTGAGCAATTCCTTAAATTTCTTTCTGCCATTTAAGATTCTTCCAATAAGAATTCTCTGTTTAGCTCTATAGCCCATTTTTTAATTGGATTGTTTGGTATTTTGCTGTCTAGTTTCTTGAGTTCTTTATATATTTTGGAGATCAGCCCTATTTCAGATGTGGGGTTGGTGAAGATCTTTTCCCATTCTGTAAGCTGTCATTTTGTCTTATTGACCATGTCCTTTGCCTTACAGAATCTTCTCTGTGGTGTTTTACTCTTTTGTGGGTCCTGCCATCCAGCTCCCAAATAAATTACACATGGAGGCTTATTCTTAATTATCAATGCCTGGCCTTAGCTTGGCTTAGTTTCTTGCCCACTTTCCTTAATTTATTCTGACTACCTTTTGCCTCTGGGCTTTTCCCATTCTCTAACTTCTGTAAATCTTACTCTTACTCTGAGAGTCACTGTGTAGCTGGATGGCTGGCCCCTGTAGTCCTTCTCCTTCTCTGGCTCCTAGCTCTTTTTTTTCCCTCCCAGATTTTTCTCTCTATCTATTCTCTCTGCCTGCCAGCCATGCCTATCCTTTCTTCTGCCTTGCTATTGGCCTGTTCTTTATTAGACCATCATGTGTTTTACACAGGCACAGTAACACAGCTTCACAGAGTTAAACAAATTCAACATAAAGTATCACACCTTAAAATAATATTCTACTACTTGATGTGCAATTTATGCTTTAGTATTGATTTTTTACATATGTGTGTGCCCTTGTATTTGGGGCATAAATGTTCAGAATTGAGACTTCATCTTGGTAGATTTTTCCTGTGATGAATGTGTAATGTCCTTCCCAGTCTCTTTTGATTTATTTTAGTTTGAAGTCTATTTGTTAGATATTAGGATAGCTACACCAGCTTGCTTCTTAAGTCCATTTGATTGGAAAGTCTTTTCCCAGCCTTTTACTCTGAGGTTGTATCTGATTTTGAAGTTGAGGTGTGTTTCTTGTATGCAGCAGAAGGGTGGATCCTGTTTTCATATCCATTCTGTTAGCCTGTGTCTTTTTATAGGCAAATTGGGTCCATTGATATTAAGGGATATTAATGACCAGTGATTGTTAATTCCTGTTATATTTTGGTGGTAGTGTGTGTGTATTTCCCTTCTTTGGGGTTTGCTGCTGTGGGGTTATTTATTGCCTGTGTTTTTGTGGGTGCATCTAATTTCCTTAGGTTGGAGTTTTCCTTGTACTGCTTTCTGTAGGGCTGATTTGGGGATAGGTATTATTTAAATCTTGTTTTGTCTTGGAATAACTTGTGCACTCTGTCTATGGTGATTGAAAGTATTACTGGGTATAGTAGTTTGGTTTGGCATCCATGGTCTCTTAGTGTCTGCATAATATCTATCCATGACCTTCTGGCTTTCAGAATCTCCATTGAGAAGCTGGTTGTTATTCCGATGGTTTGCCTTTATAAGTCACTTGGCCTTTTTCCTTTTCCGCTCTTGATATTTCTTTACTCTGTATGTTTAGTGGTTTGATTGTTACATGGTAAGGAGACTTTTTTTGTGTGTGTGGGGGTCTAGTATTTTTGGTATTCTGTAAGCTTATATCTTCATAGGTATTTCTTTCTTATGTTGTGGACTCAACACCCTTTTATCCTATAATTTCTATACTATATCCCCCCTTTTTCTTTTCAGAACAAGATCCCTGAATCTAATCTTCTTTGCTCAGCTTTCTCCCTGACCATGACCAATAACAACTTATAACCAACTCTCTAAATGATGGTAAACATCCATAACCATTGAATGCCCAAAAACAATCATCCCACCTCTTGGGAATGTGGGCATC